AAATTTCATCGAAATCGGTTAATGTTGCTGTGAGCTGCAAACGGTTAAAGATTGTGAAAATCGCACTATCATGACTTTCCGCGTAAAACTGTAATAAATCTGCAGATTCTTACATTTTTCGATGCCTGTCGCTTGTTTCTCCATCCATCGATTTTGATAAAATTTTCAGCGTGTATATCATCGACATTGATCTACAAAACGTATTTTTTTTTTTTTCATGAATAACAAATAAGTCGTTTAATAACTGTCTTCGATACTTTTATTCGTTATCCGAAAGGAATAAAGTGTTTTATTACTTATGAAAAACTTACCCATTCATCCACGAATGAACCTGCTTCGTTGACACTGGGTCAGCGTGTCGATCGCGACCTTTCCAGGTAATCCGAAACAGCTGATGTTACGGTCGGGCCGTACGGTCGCCCGTCCCTGAGCGCTGGCCCTACGGGCGCTGTGATTGGCCAGTGTTTTTTGTTAATAACTCGAAAACGAAGCTTCAAACTACATTTTGGATAAGGAAAAAGTTGTTCAGGGTCACCCCAGCAACCCCCATTTCCGGATTTTCCCAGAGTTACGGGACACCCTGTATAGTGGAAACGCGTTTCTCGGTCTACCGCCAGTCATTCCACGCAACATCGATCACTTTCTGGCAGCATGTCTTCCGATTTTGATGAAACTGTAATATGTTGTAAAAGATGGAACTTTCTAAGAATATTTTTAATTTTGTTGTTCTTCAATATGAAAATTGTAAATAAATCTTTGTTTTGCTAAAACGAACCCCTATTCTTGTTTCTAAAAATCTGAAAAAATATATGTTGTTTCTTGAATGTGAATGTTTCTCGATAAGCATACGAAATTTCATTAATTTCATTTCATAATTATAGTCAGGATGGAGCGTCAAAGACAACCGGGTGCCGTCCCGATGCGCCGCACGGTTACCAATTGCGTCAAGAGCAAAGTACCGTGAGTGGCTTGATAGTGTGGATACTCAGGGTTGTGATCGAACCGAGAACGGATCGATAGTGTGTATCGGGCCTAGAAACGTATGAATCAATGGATTTCTAAACTTAAAACCGTTAGTAACCATCGAGTACTTTCAAGAAATGCAAAAAAAGTTTTAAAAAAATGATGCCCAGAAACGAAGTTTAACCTTTTTTTGCATATTAATATCTATTTTTTGTAATGGAACATTGTAGTCAACATCGAGACGAATTCAACGACCTATGGCACCATCACCTTGAAATGACTTCAAATAGTAAACAAAAATGTTGACGACCTTGAAATGACCTTCAAGAAGACTTTTTTTTTATTCAAACTCCTCCTATCGAAAATGAATTAGATGTTCATTATAAGTGAAACACCTTGCATATACAGGGTGCCCAATTTAAATCGATCCCTGCGAATATCCCCGAAAATATTCATGATACCGAAAAATGTTTCGAACAAAAATTGAATAATTCGAGGGGAACATAATTTAATGTCAGTAATGTTTTTGTAGGTAGAAACGTAGAGGACATATGAAGATCAATTTTATTTTTTTAATGAAACCGTATATTTTCAAATACATTAATCGGTGCAGCTCGTCATTCATAATTTATGAGATATTTTAATTTTACTATTACGAAATAGTATTCAATTTCAATGTAGCTAGTATGCATGACATTTAATGTCTTATGCTTCTACGAATGTCTGTAAACAAACGTTGTTATGTAGGATGTTTGCAAGTGATCAGTTACTGTTGCGTCCCGCACACCGTAATGTTCGGTTAGAATTTGACCAGTGTCGTAAGCTGGTTGCGACGGTATCGCGAGACATTGGTTATTGTCAACGACTCTGAACCTATGTAATTAAAATGACACTTTATCGAGTCTGAGTTGATTGTGAATATTGATTCTCGGGCGAGTCCCCTGATTAGTGAATTTGATTCTTGGGTAAGTGTGGATCCTCGGGCGAGTCCCTTAAACTGAACTGAATACTGA